CCCGGCCCGGAGAATGCCTTTGGCAATCTTATTTCACTTTTGGAAGTCGCTATGATTCTTCATGAGGAAGGGATGAGGTACCATTCTGCTTATCACCACAGTGATGCAAGGGGCAAATGATTTCCGCACGGAGGGCCAATTCTAGTTTAGTGCTAATGCTTGGAATGGAGGAGGGGCTTGGCTCAGTGGTGCTGTGATTGACTAGTCATGTCTGCCGGAGGGGGGTTGTTGGTAACAATGCAGTACGTTTACCAAGCCTTTTGCCAGACCCTCTAGTTCAGTCATCCTTGAACTACTGGCATTCTGTGTGAGTGTGGTCTCTGAAAGGAAAAAAAAAAGCCCTACCTTTTATACCTCTTTCCATTTAGAGACTAAACGTAGTAGCATGGCCACAAACTTGGGTAGTGCCTGTTTTTAGCTGAGGAATTGCAATCTACCTTCCGTGACAGTCTCTAGGAAAGATGATGACGCTGGGGCCAGGATGCCTCAGTTACAAGGACACTCAAGTAGGTTCCCACAGGTCTAGAGTGGGGAGGTACTAAGAACTCATTGTCCTAGGTGGGTGGTAAACCAGCCAGTCAGGCCATCCAGAAAAACCCACATCCACCCAAGTAAATACTTGTTTAACTCCCTGGGGGACTGGAGCCCAAACTGGCACCTCTTAGGAGTCGGGCAAGCCTCCACTAGCTACCGTGGCTACAAAGAGTCTAATAAAAGCTTCCGAATATAGGCTATTATGGGCTAGATTGTGTCCCCCAAGTCCTAACCCCCCAGGACCTCAGAATGTGACTCGGTTTGGAGCAGGGTCCTTAAAGAGATAACTCAGGTGAAATGAGGTCGTGGAGGTGGGTCCTAATCCAATGTGGCTAGTGTCCTTGTCAGGAGAGGAGATAAGGACACAGACACCCACCGAGGGAAGACAGGGAGAAGACGGCTGTCTACAAGCCGAGGACAGAGGAAGAAATCAACCCTTCCAACACCTCGATCTTAGACTTCTAACTTCCAGAACCCTGAGTAAATACATTTCTGGTGTTTAAGCCACCCAGTCAAGGCAACCTGAACACTAATACACAGAGGTACCAAAACAAGCATAAAGAAAGACAGAGACACAGGTCCCGCCTTCATTCCTGTTAGTTCTTTGTCCTGCAGAGCCCTTGAGTCACTAATCAAGGCCATTGACCACAGCACAGGTGGCCTGGGGCTAAGCTATTTCTTGGCCAATTCAGGTTAGCGGTTTTTCCTTGCTGGCTCTTTGGGGGAATGGCTCCCAGGACAGTGGGACTGAGAAAGGCCCAGAGCTTCAAGCACTGACCACGGCCCCCATTCTCTCAACAGTATTGGTCCCTCAGAAAGGCCCATTCAGGGGCCACAGCCCAAGAGAAGGAAGGAATAGCAGAGTGTCCCCTCTGGTCTGAAAAAGCCTCAGGCGGCCTTGAAGACCTCTCTCAGCCCCAGCATCCTGACCAGGACTCCCCGCGGGATTTCTCTTGCCCTTATGTCACTAAGTCCCCGGACCAGCACTCAGAGCGTTCTGCCGCCAATCCCTCCCTCAGAGGGAGCAGGTAGAGACTTGCCTTTTTTCTTCCGCCCAGGCTGCCAGGCCGGCCGAGCCTCTCAGCTGCCCACCTGTACCTGCAGGCACTTGCCACATCTCCAGAATCCATCACAGAGCCGAGGCCTGTGGCCGCCGCCCCAGAGAACTGGCCAGACTCGGCTCTGCTGGGCCCAGCTCCCCCCCTCCCCTGACTGTCTTGCAGGAGTGTGAGTTCGCTCCAGCGGGGCCCCCATGGCCAGAGCACAGTCTCAGCTCCTGCTGGGGAGTCCCTCCCCTCGGCAGCAGCAGGGATCAGGGGCAGGAGTGCCTGAGTAATCAGCCCACCCCCTCTAAGGGGCTTGAGAGTGGGGGAGGCCTTGCTCAGCATCCAAAGCAACCTTCGTCTACTTTTGACCTTCCTTGTCTGATTCCATGATGGAGTGAGCGGAGACAATCACACGAATTCCCAATTCCTGCCACTCTCAGTGGTTGTGTAACCGAGCAGGACCCTGCGGGGTCTTCCCGGGACAGACCCCTCCCCCGTATCCTTGGCTGTAGCTCCTCCCTGAAGTACCCAGATAATAGAACATCATGCAGATTTCCTGACTTTTTCAGATGGAAGTGGCCCCCGGATTTCTGGTTTATGGAGACCAATCCTTAGGTGCCAGTCAGAATTGTGCACAGCTGATTGCATACCCTGGGCTGCCCTTCCCTCAACTGGCCTTTAAAAATGCTCAGCTGAAACCCTTCGGGGAGTTCAGGGGTTTGGGGGCACGAGCCACCCATTCTCGTGGCTAGCTTGGATTGGCAATAAACCTTTCTCTGCTCTAAACTCTTATGTTTCAGTGTTGTTTGGCCTCACGGTGCAGCAGACACAAGTTTCAGTAATAATATTGGCAAAACCTAGGAGTTTGTGTCTGTGGCAGGTCAACCCTGGCCGGGGGCAGCCCCTTCCCTGGGTCCCAGCAGCTGCCAGAGCTCACTTTGCTCCAGGGAACTGGGGGGCACTGTCCCTGATAGGCCCTGGCCACCCGCTGGGATGAGGCTGTTTCGAAGTTTCCCAGAAACCTCGGGAGCTGCGGTCCATGCCTGCTTAGGGGTGAGTGGCTCCAGCTCGCGCAGGCTGGGAATTCTCCCCACTCCATGTGGGCTCGTTCCCCCCGGGAAGGGAGCCGCTCTGGGCTCCCGCGAGACACTCTGGGGGTGTTCTCTGTCCGAGCTGGGCCAGTCTGTTTGGAGGCCTCTGTCTGGGAGTGGAAGTGGAGTTTTTCGATGACAGCTCATCTGATCTTTTGTTTGTGGGACCGTGTTTGTTACATGTGTGTGTCAGTGCCTGCACTGGCTGGCTGAGACATCCTTGAGGCGGCGGAGCGCTGGTTGGGTTCTCCTTTGCTAGCCTTGGTCTTTCATTCAGCCTTGTCTGATGGGGCCTTGGCTGGGTTCTCTCCTCTTGGACTCACAGGGCATTGGCTGGGAATCTCCCCTTCTCGGGCTAAGGAACTGGGATCCTGAGAGACCCTTGTGCATTCCATTTATTTGCTTGATATTTGACAACACTAGCCATGAACAATTATTGTGGGGTGTTCAGAGCTTTGTTCCGTCTTACAGTTCCCTGGGGTATTTTTGAAAAACTGGGAGACCTTTAGCTATGCTCCTATAAATGAAAAGAATTTTTTTTTTATTGTGACATTGTGTGGCCTCAGTACTCCCTGAGATCTGGAGAACAGTGGCCCCTGATGGCTCTATTATAGCAAAGCGGGACTTTTGCGGTTTCCTTGGCTTTTATCTTGGTCAGGTGTGTGTGTGAGTGTCTTGGTACCTGAGTCCAAATGCTGTTCTCTCTTCCTGGTTTTGCTGAAACAGAGGCATGTGAATGAGAGTGAGTGAATAATATATATTATTGTCTACTAGTATTATTTCTTTAAACTAAAGTGGATATTTGGGAACTGGGGAGAAAAAAAATCCCTGAAAATAGCTGGATTTTATATAAGCAATGAGGAGGAATTTGCACTTCTCTTCCTGTGCTTTTGAGATGTAAATGATCTACCTGGACTCAAGGGAAAGAAAAGGTTTTTTTAAACTCAAGCAGAAAAACTGAGATCTCTGGTTCTGTCTGTTTTTACGTAAAAATTCAGTATTAAATTTAAAATCTGATATTAAAGCTAGCCTATAGGCTTGTTGGTATAATCAACCTTCAGTAAACCTAGGTCCAATAAGTTTGTCACTTCTGTGCAGAGTTTGCAGAAAAAGAATTTGATATGAAATTCTTATGAGTAAATTAAATGCAAATGAGAAGAGCTTTTGGGTGAATCTTTGAGAAATAATTATGTTTTTTAAATGTCTACTTAAAAATGATCTCTCCAGGTATTTGGTAATGTAAAATTTTAGAGTTGTGCTAAATTAAGTTAAATGATGGAAGTTTATTGAAAACCTAGGTGATTCCCAAACAAAATGAGACACTGAAACATTATTTACTGAATATTGGCTTCCCTTTACATAGAAACTAAAAGTGTTTAGGACCATTATTAAATCTTTTTGGTGCCACACTGAGGTATTTTCTATAAAAAGCATGTTTTGAGAAATTATTACTAGTCTTTATGCTTGCTGATCTACCAAATGCTAATGGAAAAAAGTTCATAATTGCTCACTTTTTGGTTGTGACTAGAAATTAACATTTTTAAGAGCTGAGGATTCTAATTTAAATGTGTAGTTTTTTGGTTTTGTCTAAAATATTACTGGCTTCTAGTCTATGTTTTTTAATTAAACTGTTTACCAAATGTTTGTCTCCCTGTCAATACTGCCCCCAGTGATTAGGATAAAAAGAGAATTGTCTAGTGGAGTTGTCACAGAATATAACTACTCATGATGTGTAACAATGCTTGCTTTAAGTCTGCTGCTAAATGCACATGTACACCTGCTTTGGCCTTAAAGAGGGGTGCATTTAAAAGTCAAAATGGAGTAGATGTGGTTCAGACATCCAAGATACAACTACATGGCCACTGTGGACATGATTTCGGACACGCTCCTGTATTGTTGAGAACTCGAATTCTCGAGCTGTGTCATACTCAGGACAGCCCCAGCCGTTCTCAGAGCAGTGTCTGCTGGCAGATGGCAGCTGCAACCTTATGACCTCAAGATCTCTTCTTGTAACTATTAAATTTTTAGACTATAAAATTGCTTTAGATCAGTAACAATTAAATTTCTAGACAATAAAATTGCTTTAGATCAGATGTCAGCAGATAAAAGGAGACATGTAGCAGCCAATGCATGTGTTAAAACCACATCAAAAGTTAAAACCTACTCAGATAAAAGTAGACAGCTGGTTTTCTGACTACAAGTCTCCCTCAAAGTGCCAGGTCCAGACTGGTTTTCATGCTTATTCCCCTGAATTCCTCAGGGAATGAGATCTTAATCATACAAGGACTTGGAACTCAGGAATATTTACAACTCAGTGTCCACTGAGGTGGGACTATGCCCCATTTCAGCAGGAAGTAGCCAGAGTGGTCACCGCCCCATTCCCTGAAAGATTTAGGGGAGGGGTAAAACAGGATCGGAGATTGAAACCAAGTTCCTCTGCTGGGTTTATGATCAACCTCTCTGTCCAAAATATGATACCCCTTCTTGTCCAACACCTATTCTCAAGATCGAGGAGCATCAAAGAAAAGGGGGGAGTTCTAACTGAGCAGGACCCTACGGGGCTTTCCTGGGACAGGACCCTCCTCCATATCCTCTGCTGTAGCTGCCCCTTGAAGCACCCAGATAATAGTACCTCATGCGGATTTCCTGAGTTGTTCAGATGCTTAAAACCACCACCAAATGGAAGAAATTAACTATTCGACCCAGAGCTTCTGATGCTTAAGGATTGATCACTATCAACTAATCAGAATTGTGCACAGCTGATCACAGACCCTGGGATGCCCTGCCCTCGCTGGCCTTTAAAAACACTCAGCTGAAATCCTTTGGGTCGTTCGGGGTTTTGGGGGCACGAGCTACACATTCTTCTTGCTCAGCCCTTCCATAAACCTTTCTCTGCTTCAAACTGATGTTTCGGTATCGTTTGGCCTCACAGTGTGTCAGGCACATAACTTGCGTTTGGTAACAGTTTCATCTTGCGACAATGTGAGTATGAATAGGTCTTTCTATGAGAGGATGTTCAGAGCTTTTTTTTTTCAATCTTCATTCCCAAAATAAATAGCAATGTGATTATCAGATCTTATTTCCATAGTCAGTCTCATTTGCTATTTATTATCAGCTCTGTTATGCTGTCAGAGATGGCACTCCCAAGCCCGCAACCCTACTTTTGAGAAAATAAGACACGAGATGAGGATGCTTTTGGTTCGGGAGATTGGGTAGGGGGAACCCGGGCAGCACCCCTCCCTGCACAGGATGCACACAGGTATAGGTACCCTCCCCAGTACTGTGCGTGGTCTCCACATCCCCCACCCGCCTCGGAGGAGTGGAATTGAGAAGCGGGTGCAGGGAGTGTGTGAGAAGGGGTACACTGAGCAAAAGAGAATAAAAAACCTTCACTCGGAAGCCTTTGTTAAAATCTGCTCCATGCCAGGACCTTCCAGAAAGGGTACTGAGAGAGGAAGTTAAGAAAGGAGGCTGGTTGTACAGACCAGGGGACCCTTTGTGGAACAGGGATGGTGCAGAGAAGATGGTGAGAGGGCCACCCCAGGAATGGGTCTAGCGGGTTATCCAGCCACCCTTCCCTCAGTCCCTGCAGATACTGGGAGGGGCAAGGGGCTGTCACTGCTTGGGGACGGTGACTGGGGACAATGGCAATTACGTGGAATCTCAGTGGACAGGTAACTGAGTTAACCAGTGGTCTCATGTTACTGACAAGCGGGCACTGTCCTAGTTCCTGTGTGTGTGATCTTGCTTTTTCCCCCAGCCCTGATGTGAAGTGTTATCATCTCCATCTCATAAATAAACAGAGGTGAGAGTCCAGCAACTTACTCTGGGTCCCCAAACTGGCAATTTATCAGCCATGATTTGAACCCACATTTTCTGACTCAGATTCACTGCATCAGTGCCTACTGGAAGCCGTGGAATAATTTTTTTAAGTGATCAGTCAGAAATGCTTTTACTTTTGAAGTTAGAAAGCTTCATGTGCTTAAGAGATGCATGGGGAAAAGATGGATCTGCTCTTTTAAAAATCGTTCAATTCTCAAGATTACATTAAAATTAGGATGCATTTTCTTGGCTCAGGATGCTTGAGTATTTGCATGTGGCTGGAATGGGCAACATCAGCCTGTGATTTAAATGCCTCCTTGCAAAGACATTAACAGGTGATCTCGAAACACAGCTGATCAACACACAGCTGGAATTCAGCTCCACTTGTAGTAATCAAAGGCTTACAACTTAGGTGTGAAAAATGAATATTTTCTTACAGATCTTAACAAGGTTTGCATTTTTTTAATTAATAGTCCATATTGGCAATGGTGTAATTACATGGCCAGAGGACCGAATATTGATGCATTTAAGGAAAGCAGCTTGTCATTATATTTCAAGAGCCCAAGAGACATTCATGCCCTTTGACTCAGTAATTCTCCTTAAGGATTTGCATTCTAGAAGCATCAGAGTTGGAGACAAATGGTTACCAGAAAAGTGTTTATGAGACTATTATTTATAAAAGCATAAAATTTGAAATAATCCAAATATTTAACTGTAGGGAAGGTATAAATAAACTCTGGTTCATTCACAGAATGGAATGTTATACAGACATTAAAATTGTTTACTTACAAAATAATATAGGAAAATGGTGATGTCATAAAACTATTCAGATGCTGCTCAAATACTGTAGATCTTCTTTCATGTCTAAAAGCCCATGCAGAAAAGATCAGAAGGATAAATACCAAAACACTGACACTGACTTCACCTCTCAAGTGAGGAAATGGGTTTAGGGTGATGGTTTTTCCCTTTTTTCCTTCCTAATATTTTCCAATGTTTCTTAAATTGAACATGAATAAATCTTTTCAATATGGCATGGATAATCCACAAACCATGTCTCCCTGTGAGTTACTGAGGCCTTAGAGCTTTCCTCAAACTAACAAAAATTAAGGTGATGAATATCTAGTGTGGGGAGGCAGCCACCCTGATGTACTGCCTGGGGCTGTATGTAAATAACTTCACTCTTTCCGAAGAGTTAATCTCCCAATGCGAAACCAGCACCATGAAACTGTTCCTATCATTTGACTAGTAATTCCACTTGGAAATAAGTCCCCAAGGAAATAAATGCATAAGAGGAAAAAGGAGTGTGTTCAAAGACATTTGTTGAGGTGCCATTTATAATCATGAAAAATTGGAAACAATCTAGGTGCCCAACCATACAAAATGGTATATAAATCCTAAAGCTGGCAAGTACGCAGGTCATGTCCATATGCGGAAATGTTTATAAGAGCCGTTAAATGGAAAAACAGAGACTGGCTATGACAGACACGCTGATTATAACTGCAACAACACAAGGATTGGAGGAGAACATGGAAGAAGTAAACGGTGGAGGATTCAGTGTCCACACTCTCCTGAAGAGTTTGTTTCCCAAATTGTAAAAGCTGCTTTGCCCAGAACCAGAGCCGCTCTAAGAGTTTTATGAAAGAGGCCACATGGGGAGAAACACTTGTTCCATTAGACTTACTTTCTGTGGATGAAGACGATCACCGGTGTGGTGAGATGGAGCTGGAAGTCATTGGCAAGGTACCACGTCCAGCCATTGCACTGGGAAGAGACAGGGGAGAGGGGTTACTTCTCTCCTTCATTTGCCAGCTCTGCTCCACCCACATTGACTCACCTTCCTGGACCAGGAGGAAGAATTCAGCTGGCAGGAGGGCAGGGGGATTTCCAAGGGAAGAGAGAGGAATTTGGAGGTGTAGATATTTACATACCTCAGCTCAGCTAATCCTTATAAACAAGCCTGAGGAGTAGGTTTATTACCATTTTACAAAGTGGAAATTCAGACAACTTTCCTCGCCTGGTTAGCTATTGTATTTTGTTGGCTGGTTTGTTTTTAATCTCCTAAAACAGTGGTGGGAACTAAATTCCATCAGGTGTCACAGATGTAAGGAATCGTTATCCTGACGGTGTGGCTGGAGTCAGGGTGATGTTCTCCGTGCCTTCCCCCAGCGCCAGGTAGACAGAATGTGCTAGTTCAGAGCGGAGGCCGGCTGCAGACGAGCTTTCGTGGGAAACCCCCGAGTTCCCACGCATGATTGACATGAGAGTGTCTGGCCAAAGCCACACCGTTTCCCAGGCTGTCCGTGTTTGTGGGAAATGAGGCAGTTACCTGTATTTCTAATTCATTCACTGTCAGGCAATTCTCTCCAGTGCTTCAGAGGTAAAAGGTGCAGTGATTCCCTTCCCACCGCCTCAGTGCCAGGGCGCCCAGACTTGTCCAACAGAAGTGACAGCTTTCCTTGTCCCACTTATGGCCCAAGCTAGTCTGCCTCTGGGGAAACAGCCCAGCCTCTGGTCCCTGGGCCCCTGTCACAGACGTAGGTCCACCTGAAGGCAGTTAGGTGGGAATGTACGTCCTGTCGAAGCTGCTGCGCATTTGTGAACAAAAGGTAGCCACCTAGTTGGTGAGCGGTTATGCGGACACACTTCAGTGATTTTCTTTTCAGCTTCGCTTTCAAGTCATATGCAAAAATCAGTGACACAGTTTATAATTATAGCTCTTTTACTTCCATTTGCTCCAAGTTCATTAGGAGGAAATGAGGGCTTTGGGGAAGCCATGACCAGTAACCACATGATGTTCTGTCACATCTGGCTTGATGCGGCATAGAATTCATTCTGGGGAGGGTGTGGTACCATGTTCCATCCCCTTATAGGCTCCCCGGGTGGAGGTGAAGGAAGTGTCCCTCTCGCTGGGGCAGTGTGGATGGGAACAGGAACCGTGAGGGAGCGGGGACAGGCACTTAGACGGATGGCCCCTCCCAACCCTCCCCCCTGCGCCCCCTCTGCTTTCACAGCATCCCCCCTGCTGGGGCTGGTGCGCCAGCTCCCAACCCATCCCTGGCGGCCAGTCTGCCTGCCCTCAGTCCTCCTTCCTGCAGCATCACTATTACTCCAGAGAATATGCCAGAAGAAAGGGGACCAGACTCAGGCTGACCCTTGGAAAGTTCCCCAACCGTGTGGAGTGAGACACCGGATCGCGCCCCTCCTCCCTGCCACAGCCAACAACCTGAACTCACCGCCTTCTGGACTGACAGGAAGTTGTTTAGCAACAGCAGATTCGTCCACCAGGCTTGTCGGCAGTTCTCCAGGTGGAACTTGGGCACTTCCCAGACGGGTCCCCAGGGCACCAGGGGGAACAGCCCAACCAGCAAGCACACCGAATACAGGTGAAGAGGCTGCAGCCTGGCAGGGAAGAGTGGGCGAGAGAGGGTGACTCTCCATGGTGGTTCCATCTGGTCCCCTTGGTGGGCACATAGGGACGGGGGATAAGATGCCCAAAACAGATAGTACTGGGTGGGGCACCACCTCCCCACCCACACCTCAAACCTTCATACACTCATGGGTCCAGAAGCTTTCCTTGAGCACCTGCCATCTGCTGATGCAGATGCTGCTGATGCAAAAATACTTTTATTCATTGAGCGAGTCATGGATGTCGGCCAATGTGCTGGGAGCTTTCTAAACCTTGAAATAGTCCTATGTCCAGGTAACGATTTCACCAATGATGAAACTGAATCACTTGCCCGAGGTGGCCCGACCATACAGTAGTACTGAGATCTGACGCTGGTCCAGGCCTCCCCAGCTGAAAAGAGCTTTCCTTTCTCCCTCTTCTCCTCTCCCCTCTTCCTCATTTTATTTCTTCCTTCTTTCATGCACTACCTCCTTCCAAGCAGGATTGAAAGCAGCTACAAGGATGATGAATAAGACACTAGGGGTCTAACCAGAGCTGTTGAATAGAATGTAATTCCAGCCACATCGGCCACCTAGTTAACTCGTTCTAGTAGCCACATTTTTAAAAGTCACAGGTACAATTCGTTTTAATTAG